TATATATTCCAACTGTAATGTTATTGTGGGTTTGCTTAACTAAATTATAAGTTTGAAATTAATTTTACAGAAGTGTAATATGTCATTTATATAGTGGCACTATATTGTGGCATCCACTCAATTTGTATTAAAATTTATTTTAAAAAATTGACCAGCATATAAAATCGGTTGCAGTTTGTATAGAGCCGAGGCTCTAAACAATCAAATTAGAGCCTACCTTCGAATGCTCTCCAGAAATGTGGTTTCAATATTGAAAATCTTTGACTAGCCTTAAAATATATTTTCATATTTAATTACAAAATGAAAAGCTTGACAAATAATGTAGATCGAGCAGATCTATGAAACTTGAATAACTTAATAATTGACGGTTAAAAAATACGTTACAAGAAGCACTATTTCTAAAACTTGAAATCCATTGTTTTTTCAAATCCGTACATCTTGATGTTGAGATGATTAATTTGAGGATATTTGAGAATCAAAACAACCTCTTCTAGTGAAATATTTGAGAATAAAAAACAACCACTTCTAGTGAAAGTTTTGAAGTAGGTTCAAATTTGATTGTTTATTCCCTATGGAATTTATTTATAACTGCTTTTAAAAATTCATGATTCTAATTTTGTAATTCGAGAAATATTTTTTTTTCAAATTGAAATTAGAATTTTATAATAGCGATAAATTTTAACCTCTCCTTATCTTTGAGTAAATTTTTGAATTTTAAAAGTGAGTTAAATTGAATTTTGATCCAATTATAAATTTTTTTAGTTTATATTAAAATATAATGACAAATCAATATAGAATATAATATTAAAATACCCATTTTCAAACTAACCCATTACGGGGTTAACGTGGGAAATCTTTAACTGTGATGGCGATAGTGGATTCAAATTGTGTTTGAAAACTCAGCCGAGCTTGCTCGGACTTGGGCAGTGGCCGAGCTCGAGCCCAAGTTGTTCCAAGTAGGGAACCAACTTGGGGATCTTAAAAAATAATTAAAAAAGTATAAAAAACTCCAAAAGAAGAAAAGAAAAAGAAATCGATTTTCAACATGTATATTTATGGGTTTTATCATCTTGGCAAAGATTGGAAAGCATTTTAGCTATGAAACATATTTTAGCTTTTCTTATCTTTTTTGGATTATTTTGAAAACAATCCTAGTTACAAACTGATTCTTCAAAATCTATTTTTTTACTATTTTGTTAATCTCATTTACATATGTTGTGTTTAATCTTACTTTAAACATATATGGAAAATTGTTTCATGCGGTGGCGACCACATTTCTACATTTACGGTCCCTAGAGTATAAAGCGTCCAAGCGATCCTTCTGAAAACATTTGAAACTAACGGTCTAAATGTTTTCTTAATAGAATTATCATTTTTAATTTTCAAAATTTATTTATTTTTTCATATTCATGATCTCCACGTTAGAGATTATATGTCCTTAAAAAGTAAGTAAAAAAATCTATCTCAAGAATAGATTTTTAAGAGGTGACTACCCCAACACTCTACCCAACTCGAGCCAAGTACTCGGCTCGAACATGGGTCGAGTACTTGACGCGAGTCATTCATTTGGAACTAGATTAAAAAACAAAGGACTCCTTAACGTGATTGATTATAACGAGTCATTCAGTGGCATGTCTAGGCCTAACGTGATTGATTATAAATACATCAAATAAAATAGATAAAAGAGCTATCAAAACCTTTTATTGGCAGGGTATGAAAAAATTATTCACTTAGTAGTACTTATTTTAAGCTATTAAAGAAAGCAATTATAACTAAAACTGGTTCAAAAAAATCATGATTCTACTATTGTAATTTGATAAATATTTATTTCTCAAAGCCAAATTAGAATTTTATTATACCAAATTGTAAAATTTCATTTCTCTTAATTTTTAGTAAAATTTTGAATTTTAAAAGAGAGTTAAATTAAACTTTGATGCCATTTTGACTATTTAAGTTAATATAAAAATAAAATCAAATTAATTTAAAAATTTCTATTTTAAACAAAATATTATATTATATGCCTTTTTTATTATTAAACATACTTATAAATTAAATTTTGACTTTTTCTATTATTTCAATGTATTATTCGAATATCTATTATTTAAATCTATAATCAAATATACATTTATTACATAATTATAATTTTATTGAATTTAATTTCTTTTTTTAAAAGAAATTTGATATTTTCTTAAATTACGCTCATAAAAAGAAATTACTATTATGTGATTTAAATTTTCAAAAAAGTGGTTGTTTCATATAAAACTTGGTCTAAGAACGGTGATAACCTTAAACTTTCCCTTAACTCAACCCATGCCCAGGTAAAGGGGCGTCGTAGTGTTAAGTAGGTAGCCAATATAAAATTTTGCCAAACCTCATCATGAATCGTGATAAACTTATTTTATCTGCTTATGATAGGCCATTCCACAGAAACGATTCGTTGTACGAGAATTTGGGTATAGCGAGAAATGAGGAAAGGCTAGCTAGGGCATTTCCCAAAAGCGATGCGTTGTACCGAACCTTGGGTATA